CACATAAAAAAAATTTAATCAATCCGATAATTATAACTTATTCAATTTATCGTATTTTTAGCCCAAAAAAATTTGTATTTTTAAAAATAAATCATACATTTTTTTGGGTGATAAATGTAATAAGTTGAACAAGTTATCATTATCGAATCAATCTAATTTTTTTGTGTGAATGAAATACACAAAGTGTTCGGCAAGATTAATTGTTTGAATTATCGAAACGGGACCTGTGATAAGCCCTATGAGTCTAAACAACACCCACCTGTCCAACGTTAGACTAGAGGTGATCCTCTTCCATAATTAAAATATAAAACTATTTAAATATAATATTTAACTAGTTCGATTTGTATTAGCATAAAAATCTCAAAATCGAAATAGACTGCATATTACAAAAAATAGATAAAAACAAAAACTAAAATTTCAGTCCAATTTAATAAAAAATTAGGGATACCAACAAAATTATTAAACAATCTATCAAATCACTCACATGAGAGTGAAACCCACACTCATGTGGGACCTACACTTATGCAAGCGTTTGATAGATTTTTTGATAAAAAGTTAGGTGTTTGTAGCATTGTTACAATTTAGGAGTTGTTTGAGATCATCTAAATAAGTATATTTTTTGACTTTTTATAAAAAAAATATATAAAAAAGTAAAGAGATAATGTGAGTGCACTTATTTAAGAGAAGTTATTGGATTGAAGAGGTAGAGTCTACAATTTTGTGTTAAGTAATTAGGAAATATAAAAGATCATGATAATTTATGATTGGTGAGAAATACCATTACATAATATTCCTGTACTAACTAATAATTTTTCCTTATTTAGGAAATGGGAAATAAACTCTTAATTAAACACTTTCGTTTTATCAATTTTTCTACACCCAAAATCATTAGTAATCATATCTACAAACAAATTAGTAATCATATCTACAAACAACTCAAAGAAAAGCCTCTAAAAAATTCTATTTATTCCGTTTGGTTTTAATTTTCTAAATTCAATTTTTTTTAAATTAAAATTTTTATTTTTTTGTATTTTTTTATTTTAGTGAATATTTTTAAAAATTTAAGTAAATTTTTTTTTTTACTTTTTTAGATATACCTTACTTAAATGTATTTAAATAGTAAAATATTTGTAAAAAAATATTTTAAAAAATCAATAAATATACAACAATACAAAAAAAATATTAAATTATCTTCTTCTTTTTTTTGTATTTTTTGTATTTAGTGAATTTTTTAAAGATTTTTTTTATAAATATTATATTTTTTTAAGTGTATTTATGTTAGGTGTATTTAAAAATTAAAAAAATTATTTAAAATATTAAAAAAATTTAATAAAAACAAAAAAATATGATTTTTTTAAAAAAAATTTAAAAAATAAATTCAGAAAACTCAAACCAAATAAGCTAATTATATATCTTTAATGTCAATTATCTCCATGAGACCACCATTTTAGTCTTCATATTGCCCCCACCAACTTCCCCAGCCCATCCCCGACCCTTGTTTTTTTTTCCCTATCAAATTTAAATTTGATGAAATAAGTCTAAATTTGATGTTCCAATCATGACATCAAATCCATATCAAATTAAGAATGCCTTCAGTTTTTCATCAAATTGTTACAGGTAACCATTAATTTTGTAGGTAGTTGTTGGTGTTGCAGGTACATTGAACGACAAGCTGGTTGTCCTTCAGAACAACCTCTTTCTTGTAAAATTGCCCATAAATGTTTTGGTTAATTTACATAAATCGGTTGACCGGTTGGAAATTTGCCCAGTCGTCCTCTTGATTGACCGGTGGTTTGATGAAAAATAAAAAAAAATCGTTGAAACGCTTGATATCAGATGAAATTTTTACTCAAACTCGATGAAAAAAAGAAAGTAAGCATTGGAGATGGAAATGTAATATTGGAATTGAAGTATAATGTGAAAAGTAGGTGTGTGCTTTGCTTTTCTTAAATTAATTTTGTTTGGGATAAATTACACTTTTAATCCTTATAAATTAATTTAAATTTCACTTTGTTCTTTATTATTGTAAATTGAACAATTTTATTTTTATTTAATTTTAATTTAGTCATTTCATTTGACTCAAAAGTTAAAATTAATAATTTTGGAATATTTTCAGCCTCTTAAAGTGTATACATTGAAAAATCAGGCTGAAGCTTTGGAGCTCTCTTAGAGGTATTGGAGGACATTCCTGAAGCTGTAAGGAAGTTTGAACACCATCACCATGTTCATCTCCACATTGTTTTTCTATAAATCTTCAACAAATGTAGGGTTTCTCCATGTCTATATGCATGGTTTTAAAAACCGGACCGGACCGGCCGGTTCAACCGGTGACTGACCCGTCCACCCGATGCCTTTTCCGGTTCGTTCACCGGTCCGATTTTTAAAACACTGTCTATATGTATAGATGCCATGTTAGGGTTTTGCTTTCGTAATCTAAACTTAAAAATTAGACCTATTTTCTAAATTTCATGATGTCACACTCTATTAAAATACCTAAGTCAACTATTAAAATATTTAAGTTAACTCTATCTCTTATTTATTTTTTAATCTTCAACTAATTATCTTATTGACATATCATTGCATTTAGAAAATAAATTTATAAAGTGGACTTATAAATCAATTTTTTATGTTGCTGTTATGTGTTTATGGCTCTGGAAGTAATAGAAATCCATGTTAGGGTTTTTAGTGGTGTTTTGGGAAGTTGGTAAAAAGTTAATTTTTTTACTGTTTTAGTTTATTTTGTCTTTTTATGTGTAAAAAATGTGAGAGATGATGTGATCCAAAATGAGTAAAAAGCTAAAAACTGACTTTTTTTTTTTATTTCCCAAATTTAATTTTCGAAAAGGAATTGAGTTGGAACACTAGTAGGTCATAAAACAATAAGATGATCAACCGCGGTAGGTGTACTAGTCAAGTGGGAGGTCGACTGTTCCATTGACTAGTGGCCTATTTTGTTGAATTATGTTATTGTAACTGAGTTGCGGTCACTATATATATATATATATATGAGAAAGGGAGATTAAGAAATTGCAAAGAGAGAGTCCATTAATTCTTTCTGCTAGAAGTTTTACTCTAGAGAAAAGGAGATCAAGAAATTGCAGACAAGGGAAAGAAACTCAAAATTTTATTTAGAGACTCAACAAATTGGAAAAGGAAACCAAAGGATGGAAGGAGGTTGGAAGCCGGTGTTTAGGAGAAGAATAGAAAGAGCTGGAGCATCATCAAATATCTATACAGTGTTTGTTGATGATATACCTGATTCAATGAGTCCTAAAGGTCTCTATACTTTGTTTACTAATTTTGGAGTAGTGAAGGATGTCTTTTAGAAGTTTTACTCTAGAGAAAAGGAGATCAAGAAATTGCAGACAAGGGAAAGAAACTCAAAATTTTATTAAGAGACTCAACAAATTGGAAAAGGAAACCAAATGATGGAAGGAGGTTGGAAGCCGGTGTTTAGGAGAAGAATAGAAAGAGCTGGAGCATCATCAAATATCTATACAGTGTTTGTTGATGATATACCTGATTCAATGAGTCCTAAAGGTCTCTATACTTTGTTTACTAATTTTGGAGTAGTGAAGGATGTCTTTATACCAAACAAGAGGAGAAAAGCAACACAGTCCAGGTTTGGTTTTGTTCGTTATGACTGTCCTATAGCTGCTGGGGTTGCTGTGAAAAAAGCTAATGGAGTGTGGTGTGAAGACAAGAAAAAAGGCAGATTACGGAAAGGAGCAGGCTGGAAAGGAAAAGGTTCAAGTAAAAGAGGGGCCAAACAAGCAACAAACAGAAGGTGTAGGAAGGTTTATACCTAATGGAAACACAAAAAGAGACACCTGTGCTAAGGTGGTTAAAGGGTCAAGTGGTAGAGGTGGAAGTGATGTGCGAGTTAAGGCAGAGGAGTATGGAATTGGTTGGCTATATGATAGTGCAATAGCCAAGATGCGAGTGAAATGCAGTTTCGCAGATTTAAAAAAGGAATTTCAGAACAGAGGTTTGGTGGAAAGTCAGGTGAGGAAATGAAGACTAAAATGCTAGAGATGAGAGCATGGATTCATGACTGGTGTGAGGTGTGTGTTAGGTGGAAAAATGAGTTAAGACTGGAAAATGGTCGATTACTATGGCTTATGGTGTACCTCCCAATCTGTGGAATAGCCAAAACTTTCATAAAATAGGAAAAGTGTGGGGGGAAATTGTGGAGATTGATGAAGCCACCTTAAACATGGACTCTTTGAAATGTGGCAGAGTTAGAATCTGTTCCTCTCAGCTAGAGCGAGTGGATAAAATGATTATTCTGGAAAATAAAGTTAGTGTGTACCCAATTCGGGTGATCGAAGATTTTAGCTGTGGTAATGGAACAAATCTCTATTGTTGTACTCATAATGAAAAGCCAAGTTGGAAGGATTCGGTGGGGGACAGCAACGGAGAAGAGCAGAGTGTTGGGTTCGGCCATGGCAAGATGGAAGAAGATGAGGACATGGCATGCAAAGTGGCTGAGGTGGAGGCTCAAGATGAAGTGGAAACCAATGAGAGGATCAATGCTGGAAAGGAGGTATTGGAGGATGGGAACACTATTCTCTCTACAACTGTATCCATCATAAAGGAATCTGACACAGGGTTTGCGGCTCAAAGAGTTGGACAAACACCATTAACAGGTTGTATAAGATTCAAGGGAGGCATGCGTGAAGAGGCAGACCAACATACAGTGGAGTGGGAAACACGAAATGACAGAGCTACGGTGGGGTCTGATGGGCTTATAAGAAGTTTAGATGAGAATGAATTAAGGAAGCCCAATATTAATTTAGAGGTAGTCTTGGATGCAGCCCAGATGTGTCATGGAAGGAATGGTTTAAATACAATTAGTACAAGCTCTATTATATTGAGTGCTAACCCAACATCTGTTAAGGAAACCAATGAGCTGTTGACTGGGCTGAGAGGTAACTTAGCCCATATGATGAAAGATGGGAAACAACCCACTAGGGTTTTAAGGATTAACTAGATGGAGACCCAAGTGGAGAAGGAATACAACCTAGTAAGCCATGGAAATATTATCTGAAGAGTTCAATCTGATGTGAGTGAGAACGTTGAGCAGCGAAGGAAAGAAAAAGGGTATCATCAGAGGAAAAAGAAAGGTAGAAAAAGTGTAACCTTTAGAGGAGGATTTCAGAGAGGAGCTTTATTTCGTGGGGCTGTTGCTACAATTTCAGCTTCGATGTCTGTTAGTAACATCTCTGGCAGACAAAAGAATTTAATGAATGAAGCCCAAGATACAATTACGATGGGAAAGGCACTGGGGTTGGATTTTGAAGGAAAGGAAGTTGAAGCAATCAGCAAGATCATCCAGATGGAAGAAGAAGATGAAGCAAGGCTTGTAGGAGAGATGAAAAAAGAAAGTGTTTAAACCAACACTTTAAGGGTGAATTTAAGAGAAATTTGCTACTAAATGAAGATTTTATCATGGAATGTGAGAGGCCTTGGAAGGGTTGAGAAAAGACGAAGAATCAAGGAAGTTCTAAAAGAAAAAAAGGTGGATATGGCTATGCTACAAGAGACAAAAAAATCGGAGGTTGATGATATATTTGTTAGGTCACTTTGGCCAAATGAATCGATGGAGTTCATGGGGGTGGATGCGGAAGATAGTGCGGGTGCTTTGCTTTGCATATGGAAACCAGAAGTCTTTGCTTTAAAGGATTGCTGCAGCTCCAGGAGGTTTATTCTACTTTTAGGTACTTTTCATTCTAGCATTGATTGTGTAATTGGTAATATTTATGCTCCTAATGAGGAGGCTGTTAGGAGGCAATTATGGGGGGTGTTGGCTAAATTAAAAGAAGACTTTCCTAAGCCATGGTGCTTAGGAGGAGATTTCAATGGAATTACTTCAATTGTTGAGAGAAAAGGTTGTTTAAGGAAAGATAGGGGTATGATTGAGTTTGGAGTTTTATTAATGAGCTAGAATTGGTGGACATTCCTATGCTTGGGAGACAGTATACATGGGGAAATTCCCAAAGTTGGTGTAGAATTGACAGATTCTTAGCTAACCCTGAATGGTTGAATGGTTCAAATTCAAAGTGTGGTGGTTACCTAGAATTCTATCTAATCATTGCCCAATTTCATTGAAAGAAGATGAGAGAGATTGGGGACCTAAACCTTTTAGGTTCATAAATGTGTGGGTATTGCATTCTATGTTCATGAAGGAGCTAAAAAAGGCTTGGGAAGGTTCAAATGTAAGGGGATGGGCAGGGTATATTGTTATGAGCAAGTTGAGATAAGTTAAAATGGCTCTGAAAAAATAGAATAGAGAGGTGCTCGGAAATGTGGAATCAAAGCTTAAAGAGGCTGAAGATGAGCTGCACAATTTAGACTTAAAAGTGTAACGACCCCAAAGTGCATATAGAAAGTTATCCTTATTTAATTAGGGGTTAATGTGTTTGCTATTGGAATTAAAGAACTATCCGTTGAGTTATGTCTTTGAAACTGGAATTGGTGACCTTTACCAAACAATCTGAAATTTTTCCCTCCGCTCGAGCGAAGTAGTTGGCGCTCGAGCGTACTTTTGGGGTTTCCAATAATTTTGCAGGCAGACTGAAATTCTGGGAGAGGTGATTTTCCGCTCGAGCGTATAAGTGGGCGCTCGAGCGGGTCGCCTGGTTAAGTTTGATTCTGAGACACGTGGACTCATTTTTGATGTTCTTCTTAGTGTGTTTGGAATGTTCTTACCTTATTTTGGGTTATTGATTGAGATGTTAATATGATGGTAAAGTAAGATTGGATCAAAAACTTTAATTTGAATAATTCGTTTACGACCAACCGTCACTCTTTTGCCCTTTTCTTTTTCTACACTTGGAATTTGGATGTGAGGTTAGAACCATTGGAAATTTTATTTTCGGGGCTTCAATTTGGATACAAGAACGACCTAAAACGAAGTCCGGATGGGAGAGTTACACCTGTTTGAAGTTTTGGAATCTGTACTGAGAGCAGGTCCGCTCGAGCGGGAATAGGGACGCTCGAGCGGGTTTTTCGGGACAGCAGCTTTAAAAACGGGATTTTAGATCATTTCTTATATCTTTCTTCCTCCCTCTTCCTTCTTTTTTGCCTAAGTCCGAAACCCTAACTCTCAAACCTTTGATTTCATCTATTTTTACCAACAATCCACCATGGATTGTGCATCAAGGGTGAAGAAGAAGTAAAGATCAACTTTTCCAACCGATTAGATTTTGGGATTTCGAGAGGATGCATTCAACCTAGCTTCTTTGCTTCCAATTTCGAGGTAGGGGGTTCTCTTAGCCTTGAATGTTTATGATTCAAAGTGATTTTGTTCGTACTTTGGGATTTTATTGACATTTTGGAATCTTGAGTTGATTATGGGATAGGGACACTTATGGCTTTATGTTTATGCACAATTGGGGCTTCCACTCTACTTCACAAAGGATGTTGAATGTTTTTAGCATATTGGCATATAGTAATTGTTGATTCGGCGATTTCACTAAGAAAAGAGGAAAACCCCCAATTTTCTTGGAAACCCTAGGTTGATTAATGATGACAACCAATGAATTGGCTCAAGTTGAAAGTAGAGTAATGAAATTAAAGTATTGAAGTATATGTGTTCAAGTTGAATTGGAATTTGGGAATGTTGAAACTTATGTTTAGAGTTTGCGAATGAACTTTGTTATAAATGTTGAAATTCATGCTATCATGTAAAGGAAAATTAAAGAAATAATCTATTAAGGATATAGATGATATGAACTTGGTTTTAGAATGTTGAAATAGGATTCAAGGATTTATTGTGAATTATGTGAAGTTGCAAATGGTATTGATGAACCAAGTGGTGCTGACTTTGTTGGATCATGTTGCATTGAATAATATTGGAAATTGAATGGTGTTGTACTATAATGAATTGTGTAGGGTCAATTACAGGGGTGGACCAAGCATCTGAACACTGTGAGTAATAGTACTGCAAATGCACCGTAATTACCGTTAAGAAATATTATGAACAATATTCTATTCTCCGTGACCTAATATGTTGACCTGTGTGTTGATTGAGAACTGACGTGGACATTGAAAGAGTTAGCGCACTTCGGTATGATTCTGAACCTACTCCGTATTTTGAGTTATGGCTAATGATTACTGTCAATGTGCCGTCCTAAGAATTACCTATACTTCTGTATAAAAATTTCATACAACTATTAACACTGTGAAGTTGGTTTATGAATTGGTCTAATTTACCTTCGGAGTATTGGTAATGTCAAGGTTCTGTTAATTACAAAACAAGTATGTCTATGTACAAAGAACCATGAGGAAATCTAAGCCCATCATTGTACCATATGTTTAGTTTGCTGTTGATAATTAATGTTACGACTCTGTTATCGGCAATGTTCTGTTAAGCTTATGTATCTATGTTTATTGATGTGATCAATGGGAAGAATGTGCTTATCTGTATTAATCTGTTCTAATGTTTTCTGGTATGGAACAAAGTGCTGTATGGAACTAAGTGCTACACCTTGGTGGGAGCCACCTCTAGAATTTGTACGAGCCACCTCTTGAGTCCATACATCTGTTATTTCTGTTACCCACGCTTATGCGTTCTGTTCCCACGCTTTATGCGTTCTGTTACTACGCTTTATGCGTTCTGTTACCCACGTTTTATGTGTTCTGTTACCACGTTTATGCATTCTGTTACTACGCTTTATGCGTTCTGTTACCCGTGCTTTATGCGTTCTGTTACCACGCTTATGCATTATGTTACCCACGCTTTATGCGTTCTGTTACTACGCTTTATGCGTTCTGTTACCCATGCTTATGCGTTCCGTTATTTATGTTATTTTTGTTAGTTCTGTTATTTCTGTTAGTCCTGTTATTTCTGTTATTTCTATTATTTCTGTTAGTTCTATTATTTCTGTTGTTTATGTTATTTCTGTTATTTCTGTTATTTTTGCTATTTCTGTTATTTCTGTCATTTCCGGACCCATGGTCGTTCGGCATCTGTAGGCCTATGGTTGTTCTGTATATACTGGGCTTAAAGCCATTCTGTTACGGAAATTGAACCCATGGCTGTTTTGGACATAATTACGGCATGTAGTTAATCATATGTATCTGCTGTTATATGTTTGATTATTCAGGTTGAATATTACATTATTTATGTACTGTTATTCACTGAATTCGCTCATTCTGTATTTTGTCTGTTTATTTCTGTAGGTAACCAACCGGGAGTTCAGTCCTAACCTTAAGGCTTGTGTTTCTCTTGTCAACTTTGATGCGTCCAGGCACCACCTGATGCCGTGCATTATGTATAGTTGCTGAGTTTTGATTTATGCTTTGAACGTCTATTTATGGTTGATTGTATATAATTCCTTCTTCATTAATATTTTTGTTATCAACCAATTTGTGGGGTTGAGTCGAGGCATATGTGTGTAAACTTTCTGTATAATATTTACTTAGTGTGAAGTTGAGATCCTGGCATGTTAGGAATAGCTCAATGGATGTTATTCTATGTATTTTATATTATTGAATGCTTCCGTTCAGGCCCCGTATGATATGTATAACAGGATTAGTGTCTGTTTTCGAATGGGTCATGCCAAAACTTTTAGGGGCGGGTTTAGGGTGTGACATAAAGGCAGAATCCAAAAACCTTAATGAGTTGGAAATTACAAGAAAAAAGGAGGCGTTAGGGTTGGTTTGGCAGATTCGAAAAAGAAAGGAGTGGCTGTGGCTACAAAAGTCAAGACTAGATTGGGCATTAAAAGAGGACAAGAACACAAGGTTTTTCCATATAATGGCATCTATGAGGCAAAACAGAAATATGATTAACTCAATGAAGATTGATGAAGTTATTGTTGAAGAACCAGCTGAAGTCAAACAAGCACTGTGTAACTATTTCAAGAAACATTTTGATGAACAATGGAGGAAAAGGCCCAACATTGGTGGAAATTTCCAAAAGGTGAATCCTATTCAAGTTACTGAAATTTTGGAAATAGACTTTACTGAGGCCGAGGTATGGGAGGCAATCAAAAAGAGCGATGGGAATAAAGCTCCAAGGCTCGATGGTTTCAATATGATGTGCTTTCAGAAGGGTTGGAAGGTGATGAAAGAAGATATAATGAATTTCATGAAGGAATTCCATAAAAACAGTAGATTGGGTTATGGTATTAACTGCTCTTTTGTCATCCTTATCCCAAAGAGAGAAATCCCATCATCCATTATGGAGTATAGACCAATTAGTTTGATCAATTTTGTGTACAGAATCTTATCTAAAGTGCTAGCCAACAGATTGAAACAAGTATTACCAAATGTAATTGATAAAGTCCAATCAGCTTTCTTGAGGGGGAGAAACATTTTGGATGGGGTTCTCATTGCAAATGAGGTGGTAGATTGGTGGAAGAAATCTAAAAAGAGGGAACTAATCCTTAAACTAGGTTTTGAGAAAGCCTATGATTCGGTGAATTGGAATTTCCTTCTTCAGATGTTGACAAAATTTGGGTTTGGGCCAAGATGGTTAGGTTGGGTAAAAGAGTGCATTACCTCACCTAGAGTATCTATTTTAGTGAATGGATCTCCAACCAGGCTCGGCCCTGAGGGCAGGCCAAAGAGGCCTGCGCCTTGAGCCCCCAGATTTGGGCTGAAAATAGGGCCCCAAAATATGATTTTTTGTTTTAGATATAAAAAAAAATCCAACTATTAAAAGCCCAATTGAACATAGGGCCAAAAAAAAAAGAAAACCATATAATAGAGGCCCAATGAACATGGGCCCAAAAAGGTGAAACGCATCATGATATACCCACCTGAGAAGAATGAATTCACATGGGTCTTGCATATTTGACGAAACACATCTTTGAGAAGAATGAAACATATCACCTGAGAAGAATGAAACACATCTCTGTCTCCTCCATATTTGACGAAACCGTGAGTCTTGCATTGGACTGCTCTATCTCTTATATTGGACTGATAAAGATGAAACCGTGAGTCTTCAATCCTCTCCTCTCCTCCATATTTGACGGACGCTGAGCATTAACGATTTTGGGCATCAAAACCGTGAGTCTCTCTCTCTCTCTCTATATATATATATATATATATATCACATTTAAATGGAGGAAGTTTTTGCCCTAATTTCTTCGCTAATTTGTTGCCCTAATTTTCCTCCTAATTTGTTTCCTTATATAATTTGTTCTTTAAATTAGAAAATTACCTAATTTATGTGCTTTAGTGAAAGTCTATAATTTTTGTTATGCTCTAATTCTGAAAGTATATTATTTGCAAAGATCAGTAATTGTGAATTTGTGTGGATTTGTGATTATATAGAGTAGTCATGCCTCCTAGGAAGTATATTTTTGGATGTGAAAAAAGGCTTTTTATATGAAAGTAAATTTTTGTTTATAATTTTAATGATTATATGTGCAAATAAATTTTTATCCATTTATCCATCAACTTTTTTTTTTTTTTTCCAATGTAAGAAATGCCCAATTTCCGAAGGTCGCCTTGGGCCCCCTAAATCTCATGGCCGGCCCTGCTCTTAATTTAAAATTTTATGTCAATTTCGACGAATTTGATTGAGATACTCATTAAGTTTACAATTTAGTTCTTAAAAACATGATAGAATCTGCTCATATGAACATTTTGTGATCAATTGAACTTTAATTGAGATAAAATCAAAAATTCATAGTCAAAATCAAGCTAATTGAAATTATAAGAACCAAAATGATGTAAGAATCAAAATATAGAAATTATCAGTGTAATTTATCTAAATATATATACAAGTGATATGTGTATATTTTCCCATCTGGTCATACAATTAGCATGCACATATATTTCTTCTTACATATCTCTCATGTAAATAAATAAGCTCGAATGAGCATTTTTGTTATACTTTAGCAGCACTTCCTTGAGCCTCTTGGCATGAAGTATACTATCTAAATAGAATGTAAATGGTTCAAGTACCGGGGAGAGACAGGGAGTGTAAAAATAGCCCGCAGCCCGGGATAGGCCCAGCCCGTTTGGGCCCGAGTCCCTGAGGTTAGATTTGGGCCATCATTTTGAAACCTGGCGTAGCCTACTCACCCCGGCCAGTGGCCCAACCCATCGGCCCGCTTAAGACTCACTCAAGGCCCGACCCAAGGCCCAATGTCTTTTTTAGTAAAAAATAACAAAATTTTGGTAAAAAAAATTTAAAAAACAAAAAAATATGGCCAGGCCCAGGCCCACCGGGCCCGCCCGCCTAAGGCCCAAATACTCTTGGGCTTGGACTTGGGCCTGAGCCTAATTTTTTGGCCCGTGTGCCAAGGCGCGTAGCCGAGACTTCCGGGAACTCCAAACGAACACAAACATGGATAATCACCAAGTGTTCCAATGGTGACGTCCAAGTCTTGAAACGGTCAAAAATGGGGTGTCTACAGGGCCTAAAAAGGTGAAACACATCATGATATACCCACTTGAGAAGAATGAATTCACATGGGTCTTGCATATTTGACGAAACACATCTTTGAGAAGAATGAAACTTATCACCTGAGAAGAATGAAACACATCTCTGTCTCCTCTATATTTGACGAAACTGTGAGTCTTGCATTGGACTGCTCTATCTCTTATATTGGACTGATGAAGATGAAACCGTGAGTCTTCAATCCTCTCCTCTCCTCCATATTTGACGGACGCTGAGCATTAACGATTTTGGGCATCAAGACCGTGAGTCTCTCTCTCTCTCTCTCTCTCTATATATATATATATATATCACATTTAAATGGAGGAAGTTTTTGCCCTAATTTCTTCGCTAATTTGTTGCCCTAATTTTCCTCCTAATTTGTTTCCTTATATAATTTGTTCTTTAAATTAGAAAATTACCTAATTTATGTGCTTTAGTGAAAGTCTATAATTTTTGTTATGCTCTAATTCTGAAAGTATATTATTTGCAGAGATCAGTAATTGTGAATTTGTGTGGATTTGTGATTATATAGAGTAGTCATGCCTCCTAGGAAGTATATTTCTGGATGTGAAAAAAGGCTTTTTATATGAAAGTAAATTTTTGTTTATAATTTTAATGATTATATGTGCAAATAAATTTTTATCCATTTATCCATCAACTTTTTTTTTTTTCCAATGTAAGAAAGGCCCTATTTTCGAAGGTCGCCTTGGGCCCCCTAAATCTCAGGGCCGGCCTTGTCTCTAACTGAAGAGTTTTGTCCCCCGTAGAAGGTGAAGGCAAGGTGATCCACTTTCACTTCTTTTGTTCAATGTGGTAGCTGAAGGGCTTAATATATTGTTGAAGAGAGCAAAGGAATTGGGGATTATTAATGGCGTAGAAGTGGGCAGTGGGGGGTTTTGTGTGTCCCATTTTCAGTACGCAAATGACACAATAATCATGTGCAATGTTGATTGGTCTGAAGTGGTTGCTATTAAACGAATTTTGAGGTGCTTTGAAGTGGTATCTGGGCTTAGGATAAATTTCCACAAAAGTGTGGTATGTGGGGTTGGGGTGGCTGATGATCTGATTCTAGAGTTTGCAACAAAGCTTAATTGTTTAAGTAAAAAATTGCCATTCAAGTACCTTGGTCTTCCACTTGGAGCTAACCCAAGCAGAAAATATTCTTGGAAACCTGTCATTGACAACTTTAAAAAGAAGCTCTCATGTTGGAAAAGAAGAGTACTGTCATTCGCAGGGAGAGTTGTTCTTATTAAATCTGTTTTGTCCACTTTGCCAATTTATTACATGTCACTTTTTAAGATTCCTGAAAATGTTTCTAAGGAACTTGATAGGTTACAAGCAAATTTTCTGTTGGAAGGTTCAGAAGTTAGGAAGAAAATTCATTTAGTAAAATGGAAGGAGATTACAATAGAAAAACAAAAAGGAGGTCCGGAAATAAGAGATATCAGGCTCACAAATCAGTGTATGCTATTCAAATGGTGGTGGAGGTATGCAATTGAAGATGATGCAATATGGAAAGCTGTAGTTTGCTGCAAGTATGGTTATGCTGGAGGGAAATCGTTACTGTCTACTAATATAGCAAGCATAACTTCTAAAATATGGAGGGATATAGTGGAAGTATCACAATCAAATCCAAAATTATATACTCTATTTTTGGAGAACATGGATATAACAATAGGAAATGGAAAAAGAATAATGTTTTGGATTGATAATTGGATAGGGGATTCAAGCATTTGTAATAAATTCCCGAGACTTGATTAGTTATGCACCGCAAATGAGGCTTCTCTAAATGAGCAGATTTCAAGAAAAGTCAGTTCAGATAGGTGGTGCTTCATTTTTAGAAGAAATCTAAATGCTTGGAAAGAAGATGGGTTAGTTAAACTCAAGGATCTGTTGGGAGCAGGGCCCAGGATAAAAATGGAGATTGAGGATTCTGTGAAATGGAAGGGTGATCCAATAGGTGGGTTCAAGGTTAGGAGTGCATATAATTGGTGTGTTATGGATTCTGTACCTCTACTCAGTTCTGTTGGACTGATATAGAACAATTTATCTCTACCTAAAGCCAAATTCA